CTTGTTAATTTTTTCTATAAAATATTAATAATATATTTACAATAATTTATTATTCATATATTCAGAATAGTTTATTATGAATATAGCTTATTTACTTATTATTTAATGAAAATATTTAATTTTATATTTCCATTATATTGTATTATATTATTTATATCATAATATGTAAAAAAAATCTACATAAAATATTTTTGATTTATAAAAACATTATACATTATTGTATGAATAAATATTTTAATAAAAAAATATTTTGCTGTCACAATGTTCGATTAACAAAATATTTGTATAATAGAAATTCAAATTATGGAAATATTACTCTTAAATTCAACATTAAAATCTATTAATTAGTTTTTCAATATATTTTAATTTTAATTAATAATTATTATCTAACGAAATTAATTATTTTTTATTCTTTATATTATTTATAGTCATTAATTATATATCGCATTGATTTTTATAATATTAGACTACATATAAATAAACGACATAATAAATTAGTTTAATATAAAATTTTGACATATATTTAAACTTAATTAAACATGAATTTTAATTAATTATTTGCATGTTTCTTACCCCAACAAGTTGTCTCATATCATCATAAGATTCCTCTGAACCAAGACTGCCTCCCTGTTTATAATCAATATTAAAAATTAACTTTTAAATAATAAATTAATCACAATAGAATTTGAAAATGTGTAAAATTTTTCTATGATTATATTAAATAATATTCTTATTTAAAAAAATATTTTAAAGTATCTTAAAGATATAACTTTTTTCTTATTCGTTATATTTATTTTTAAGTTTTTAAATAAATATTACTAATATTATAACAAAACTACAAATAGTTTAGTTAGTAAAAAAAAAATATAAAATTACTTAATACATTTATATAGAATAAACAATTCGAATAAATTTTCAAAATATAATATAAACATATCCTTATTTCTGTTAATAAAATAAATTTACGATAAACATTCAATAATTCTATAGATTGAATTAGTGTATTATATATTAATTCAAAAACTTATCATTTTACAATTACAGAATTATAAAGTTATTAAACAAATAAATTAATATTAAATATATTTATTAAATTATATTATAATTAATTAGAAAGTTAGGAAACTACACAAATACACTAATTTTAATTTTTAATATATTTAAAAAAAAAACAGTTTTTTGAAATATTTCAATTTAAATATAAATAATGAAACAAATCTTTTCTTATGTCTTTATTTGATTTGATTTTAATTTTATATCTGTTTCACATTTTCTATAATAATATAATTCTCTATTATCCTTATATTTTCCATTATGTGATTTAAATAAAATCATAATTTGAAACATTGATTTAAATAAATAATTTTTTTTTACTTTTTAAAAAAAATTTTATTCGAATTATTAATTATTTTTTATTGTATATTTGATATTTGTGAAACTTTTATTTAAAAAAATCTTTATTATTAAGAACTTCTTTTAAAAAAATGTTCTTATGAAACAAATATTTTAGAATCTATATAATAAAAGTTTAATAAAAATATATTTTATTAAACAAAATATTTCAGTATGTTTATTAGAAAAGTTCTTATAAATAAAGAAATCAAATTATTAAGTACCAATTTTATTTAAGAATATATTATCATATTATTAATATATTTATTTAAAATAAAAGATATGATATACTTAATATTGTACTATTATTCATACACAATATATATTTAATATTTATTACAATGAAAATGAAAACTCTTTTAATATTAAAATAAACATATATGTTTTTGTAATAGAAAAATATTTATTTTTATATTTTAATTTTGTTTAAAATACGATTTTTATTTTCGATTTTTTTTATTTGTTTTTATCAAAATATGTGAAACACTTATAATGTGAAAATTTTTATTAAAATAATTGCATGATCCATATTATAAATAAAAATGTTCTTTATGAAATATTCTTAATTTTTTCGAATGAGTAATATTTGAAAAATACTATCAAAATAATTAAAAGTAAAATAAGAAATAATAATTCATATATTGACGAAAATAATTTAAACATAGCGCATACAAACAATGGAAAAAATACATCGAAATAAAATGTATAGATGTATACATATTGATGAATTATAGATTTTTTTCTTTTACGATAATATATGAATATTTTCGAATTAAAAAATACATCTATTTTTTATTTTTTTATATAATTACAATATAAAAAATTTATTTATTAAAAACAAATTCATAAAATTCTTATTTTTTTTTTCATTTTTATTTTTATAAAATTAATATTTCACTTATATTTAGCTTAATTTTACCAACGTTTAAAAAACAAATATTACAAAATATTTGAATACAATGCTTAAAAATTAAATATGATATTTTACAAATTTTACGATTAATAAAACAAATATCAATTTCAAACTTTCTTTAAACTTTTTTTAACCATTGTCATACACACATGATAATTCTTTGATAACAATGATAATTCTATGATAATTATTATAATAATTTTTTCAATTAATTTTCTAATAATCTAATTTTTTCTAAAATTATGAAAATAACTTAGATTACTCTTGTACAAATTCACTAAGCAACAATTACAAACCAAAAATTCGCGCGAACTATTTCAAACAAACCGAATTAATGCGAAATCTAATATTCTTTATAATATTTATATCTATTTTCTTCTTCTTCTTCGTTCATAATTATTTTATATATATACTGTTATATTGCGACAGAAATAACGTACGTCACAGAATTTATTACGTATACCACCATATTCTTCAAAAGGATCAAAAAGGACAATAGTAATCCACCAATAATAATAGAATAAGAATTATGATTTTACTTACATCTTCGTAATTATTCCTCGCATCTAAGATATAACTCTTTTCGTTCGCGTTTAAAGCCATCATAAAAGATCGTTGAAAGAGGAAAAATTGAAAATGGAAACGAGAATAAACGAAAAGCTTAAAGGGAAGATTCGACGCGAGAGAATAGGATCGAGCAGACGTCTATAACGACTGCACCCTTCCTATCTAACTGAACTTCCGCTTTTACTTCCTTTTACAACCCCTTCAATACATGCATGTATTTACAGTGGTCACGATGGATGCGTGCGCATTGCATGCGTTCTGTTTTTCTGCGTTATTGAAATTCCTTCTTGTCTTTGTTATGATCCATCTATTTTTCCTTCAGTTTTCTTTTCGATCTCTGTAATTTTCTATCTTCAATCTTTAAGATTATAAATTTTATCACAATAAAATATAAAGATAAAATAATCGAGCAGAGATTAAATTAAAATAACGATAAAATAAATAACTGATAAAATAAATAAAAATAATTTCGTGAAATTCGTATTGAAATAAAAATAAAAATCGCCGTAAAATTAAATATTAGGAATAATATTAAAATATTAGTATATTTATGGAAAATATTTTTGAAAAATCAAATATCTATATCGGAATAAATATAAAATGATATATAAAAGTATCAATTGAATTATTAATTTAAGTTAAATAAAGTGAAGCGAATACAGAATAAAATGATGATTTGACGGAAATAGAATTATTTCATTTTATTTCGCTTATCTTGCTTCGTTAACATAAACTTCAATTATTTTAATAAATAAGTCTCATTTTTGCACAATTTTTAACTTTTATGTACATTTTAGTAGTTGATCTAAATATATTTAATCATTTTTAAAAATATAATCATAAATATATTAATATATTTTATATAACATATATATATAACAAATATATACATAATAATGTATATATTTGTTAAGCGAAAAGAGTGGATATATCCAATTTCGATAATAATTTAATCATTGAGAGAAATATATTTACAATAGATTAATATACCATATATATTTCAAAAATAAAAACTTAGAAAAATATTTTTTTTTTCAAAAATACCAAATATTATTTATGAGTTTATAATAATCACTAAAATCTCTTCCTGCTTAAGGAGTTAATATTTCTATTCAAAAATAAATTTAAATCTCTATGATAAAAATCCCTACTTAAGAGGGATATAAATATTATAATAAAATTATATTTTAAAAACGAACTAAAAAACGATTTAAAAAAAGTCGTTCGTAAAATCTTTATGATTTAATTTTAGAACATGTAAAATATAATAAAAAAGAAAATATGATTGAATGGATATATGTAATATAATTATATTATGTAATATAATTATTTATTTTATAGTCCTATTTTATGTTTATTTGAAATAATCATTTTAGATTTGTGCATAAACATGCATAAAAACTTAAAATGAATTAAAAAAACAATAATAAAGATAAGGATTATTAATTGTGAATAGAATATATATATCGTGTTTGAAAAAAAATTATGAAGAAAATCTATTTTCTAAAAAAAAACGTATTTAAAGTTTAACAGAATTGTTTCTGTTATATTCTATTATATTATTCTATTATATATATATTTCTGTTATAGTATATATAGTATATATAGTAATCAAATGTATGCAAAATGATTAAATATATATATATACATATACATATTTTGTAATTTTAAATATTAATAAATGTAATCCATTCGTTTTAAGAGTATAAGAATTATTAATTTTATGCCTATTTTTTAAATTTTTCAATGTTTAATTATTTATCTTTAATCTAATTTCTTATCTTTAATCAATCATATTTTCTTCAAATTAACATAATAAAATGTAAGTTTTCAAAGTAGTAAAGTATAAGATTTTGCTGATATACAAACCATCGAAATCTAAAAATCGTTAAACAATTATAATTATATAATTGTTAATAAATATTTTTTTCTTTAGTACAGTCGCATATTATGAATATCTTTATATTATCTATTATGTTCTTTATTATAAAGAATATAGCATGCTTAATTAAATAGAAAATATATTTGTAATCATAAATTGCAAAAAAATATTTAATTAATTTTATCATAATTAAATATTATATTATTATTCATTATATTATTATAATTAATATTTATTATATTATTATAATTAAATATTATAATTTTTTAAATTTTTCATAATAAAAAATTTTCTTTAAATATCAATATTAAACATTTAAAAAAATATTAATGAAATATTAAAGAATAAATATAAAAATTATAATGAAAAGAAAAAATCAGAGATTTTTTTAATATATCAAATAATAGTATATTTTTTGATGTTATTGTTAAAACTTCTAATTCATGAAACACATGAAATAAAAATACAATATTATATGTACTTAATAAATAAATACATAAGTTTTAATACAAAAATCGAATTTTTCAATAAATCAATTTTGGATTATAATAATTCAATTTTAAAAACTAATTCTTAACAATATTAAAATAAAAATTTCATTATAAACAATGTTGAATATTTAATTAACTATAATATTTAATACTCTTTATAATAATGATTTATAAATACTTTACTAATTGTAGAAATTAATTATAATAGCAATTAAATATATATAACATAAATAATATATATTATATATAGATTACGACGTAGGATATATTTAGAAAGTTGATTATATAAAAATAAAAACAAACACAGACATTATAGAAAATTGTCGATTATATAAAATCATATATTATCATATAAAATTTATTAAATTATAAGCAATTTGCATTAAAAAAGTGAAGCAGATGTAGAATGAGAATGTGATTTAATGGAAATAAAATTATTTCATTTTATCTTCTAATGTTTCATTTAACATAAACTTCAACTATTTATAATTTAATAAATAAACTGACATTTTTATATATCAATTTATTATGTTTGTTTTCTCTAGAATCAACCCTCCAAAAATATGATATTCTGTATACAAATATAAGTTAAATGACAAAGATATATTCTTAATCACTTACTAATGTTAATTCTTACATAAATAAATATAATAATAATAAAATCGCAGGCAGTTAACTAATTGTTGATTCTATAATTATCAATCATATAAATTACAAAAATATTTTTTAATACAATTTTTCATATTTTTTTACAACTGTTGCTAAACCAGATTCATAAATTTTTTTATATATAAAATAATTACATATAGCAAACTAAAATAAATCACAAGCTTTTCTAAAATTTATCAAATTTTTTTATATTTTTTTTTTAAAATTTATATTTTTATATCTTAATGAACAATGAAAACAAAACATATAAAACTACTTTATCAAATTCTGTGTAATATTTATTTGAAAAAATAAATATATTATTAGTTTGAATCATATTTTTATAAAATATTATTTATTATATTATATATAATATAATATTATTTATTATATAGAAATATAGAAATCTCAATAAAAGTTTTCGAAATGCAAAAAAAATAATAATGCTTTTATGTATAATTAAACTTAAGAAATTGCGTCACTTAATTAATTTTTAGATTTTCGTATTATGATACAAAGCTTAGTTAAGGAATTCTCATGTTTTTTGTATTTATTAAAAAACCAATATTATTTATATTTCATCTGCTATAAAAAAAAGAATGTTATGAGAAAATTGTGATTTGATGAGGAAAAAATATGATGCTTGCATTTATCCAATTTGAATATTCAAGAGTGTCTTGAAGGATTTTGACAAGGTACCACAAACCAGCCAGAAACTGTTGGATCCATTTGAGCATTGCTCAAAAGGACATTATTCATTCTCTGATTTTTCATGATTTCTAATTGTCGTTTCAAATTTCGATATAGCTTTATTAGAGATTCCTATAATTGAAAAGAAAATAACAATTAATTTATTATATTTAATTTCCAAAAATCATTATATAAAGAAAAATTTAAATTCTATAGAAATTAAATTAGAAAAAATTATTTAAAAGATATAATATTTAAAGAATTAGAATATCAGTTCTTAATTTTTTGTTTATCATGGATTTTTAAATAATTCAAATAATTTTTGATTGTTGTTTTATTTTTTTTTTTGATTCTCAAAATTCTATTCAAAATTTAAATATATAATATACAAAAATTTAAAGACTTCAAATTTAAAATCATATGCTTTTTCTCATTACGCATATGAAGATTTCGCGAAAGTTTGTAGTTAAGAATTAAAAAATAAAATAAAAATATTTTCTTTTCTCTCTATGAAATTATTAATATAAAATTTATTACAAAAATTATTATTTTTTCTTTTCAATTTTTTTGTTCAAATAAAAAATAAATAAATTTCATTAAATGAAACTTTAGTTGTATTAACTTACCTTTTCATCTTCTAGTTTTCTAAGTTCTTCTTGTTGTCTTAAACTATCTATCGTCAAATTTTTAAGCATTTCATTTTTATGTTGACCCAAGAGCGCTATTTCCGTTTGAACTTTCAAATATTCTTGTGCAAGCTGTTTGTGTTCCTCAAAAATTTCTTTTGATCTTTCGCAAGTTTGATCAGGTGTCAATGGTCTCAAATCCGCATCCAAGAGTCGGTAAACATTATCTAAATCTTTATCAGTAGTACTATTACCTGTTAATAAAAAATTATTACTGAAAATTAATCCCTAAGCAATTAAATTAATTATTTATTACAAATTATTACAAATAAATTATTTTATTTTTAATCAATCGAATAATATTTCCGTACAAGATTAATAAATCATAATAATAATTATTCATTTACAAAAAATTAATAATTTCTCAAAATTTAATTTTGATTAAATTAAAATAATTGAAATCTTATAACGAAATAATTTTATAATATGATAAACTTCAATACTCTGAAAAATGATTTATTGATATAAATTAAATGATTATTAATACAAATAAACAATTGAAATTAAATACGTTTTAGAGAAAGAGAGAAATATAAATTTCTTAAATTCTTTATTTGATTCATTTATGATAATAATAGTAAAATTATTAACTTTTTGTATCCATATATTTAAATTAAATCCATTTTAAATTAAATTAATTTTAAAACTGTTATATTTATTCTAAGAATGTTTTAATTGAAATATTGATTGTTCAAACAATATAAATAGAAAATTCAATATGATTCTAAAATTCTAAAAGTAAAACAAAAACAAAAATTGGTTTGCAAAAATATCTATTAAGTTTATTTTTTAATTTATAAATAATTTAATTTTGCATTAGACGAAACGAAACAAAGAGAGAACAATATTTTGTTTTATTCCATAAACAAAAAAATTGCTTATAATTTGAAAAATAATACACAAAAATAATACACATTTTGAATATTAAAATTTTTTAATATTTTGATTTTTTTTATAATTTTTAGAATTCTTTAAATATTTATTATATT